CTTAGGTGGTGACGGTACCGTTACCCAAAATATAACCACAAGAACATAACTCATGTCAACGTAGCACTTCAATTCTCATTTCAATATTTCGGTCCTCAGGACCCCTTATATATATAACGACCCTTATGGTCCTTAAAACATTTCGGTCCCCAGGATCCCAAAGCATTTTGGCCCTTGTAGCCCCAAAGGCTATATTCGGTTATATGATCAATAAAATAAATACCCTCGTATAACGTTTCATTGTCATTCAATCATCATCATCATAAAATTTGAAGGACTCAACTTAAATAAATTCTCATAAAAAAAATTAGTGCTTCATTATACAAATGAAATCATATATTTATTTAAACTCAACCCTTGGCCTCAATAGATTTATAGACTTTCTTTTTATACATATATCATGATGAAGTGTATCATTCACTTCCTTTAATTCAAAATTATTTTCAAACTTTGTAATAAAGATAGAAGTAAGGTAATTTCCATGGTAAGTATACTCACCTCCAAAGTAGCAAAAGCGTAGATTGAAACTCTACAAATTAATTCCCATGAGGTGCAGAGACGCCTTCCTCCAATCCTAACAATTAGTAAATAGGATCTAAAATTAGGGAAAAGCTTTCAATGAAAAATACAACACTTACAAAAATGATCCTAAATAAGTCATGCTATGGAATGACAAGTTAAAGAACTCCTCCTAACTTCAAGTCACCTAAACAAATAACTTATCCAATCTCCACAACACCCATCCTTTGTACATTTTTAAGTTATTAACTTTTTAAATATCCAATCAATTTATATGCACAATACCACTATCAATAAACTACAAAAGTCAAAAATCAACATTTTTTATAAACTCAACAACTTAAGTAAAACCACTTCAATCAATTATAAAATTCCTTCATAGAGCATAGAGATAACAAATCCACCATTTATCAAATCAATTTCAACATATAAATTTCCTAACACCAAAATTCCCAATTTTTTTACATCACATACAAACTCTAGATTAACCCAAATCGCAATCTCCAAAACAACCATCAAATTGATCATTTTTCTACATGTAAAACATTCATAAAAACTAATTGAGAGTATAAAAACTCAACAATCAAACCCCAAATCATAATAGATCTAAAATAGAAAAAAATTTCATCATCTCTAACTCAAAATATATAAAACCTTAAACTAAACTTTTTAGAGAAAGATTCTTACCAATTAAAAGCCTCTAATCCATCAAGAAAATAAACCCCAAGCTTTGATTCTTCAAAAAATCAAGAAAAATCTAGAGTTGGTACTTCTATTGTACTATTTTTGGATGTAGTGAAGGAGTGGCCGACCGGACCCTTTTTCTGGAGAGATAAGGTGGCCGGCGGTGGTGGAGATGGTGGGTTAAAGTGGTGGTGTAAGGGTGGAGCAGAGGTGTGGTGTTTGGCCACCAAGAAAGTAAAGGAAAATGAGAGAGAATGTAGAGAGAAGTTAGAGAAGGAAGAACGAAGACAACAAAGTAAACAAAAAAAAATATGCACTTCTTTTTTTTTTTTTTTTGTTGAAATAGGGTGTTTGGTCACACCTACTATCAAGTTTGGAGTTGGGTTTAGATATCATAAATGGAGTTTAACATAGGAGTGTGTTTGGCTTTAGATGAATGTTGGGAATATTATAGCAGTAGTTAACGTCGATACCACCGTTGAACACAGGTATGTCCAGAATTTTGTATTACAGAGTCATTCCTCATCATTCCCACACATTCACACCAGTGCACAAATCAATGTCGCTGTTATCACACCGACAGTGGAACGAGAACGGAGAAACATTAATACCTGTGTTTGACGCCAACAGTGCAACAGTCCATCTATATCAGAGGTGGTGTGGTTATACTTCGCGTTGAGTGTTGTGGCGTGAAGAACACTAGTTTGGTTGGTCGGTTGGAGGTGTTTCCTGTGAATTGGGCTTAGTGTAGTGGTAGTGGACTGGACAAAGTTTGGGACTGTGAATCCAGCAGATCAACTGAATAATGTCACAGAAGATGGACTGGACAGAGTTGGGGACTATGAATCTGGCAGATCAATGTGAACAATGTCACAGAAGATGAACTAACCAAGCAAACAAAATAAAAATGTTAGATCAACATGAACAATGTTAGGAGGGAAACCGGCGAACAAATAAAATTGACGTGAACAATGTTTGGAGGGAAACCGGCGAACAAATAAAATTGACGTGAACAATGTTTGGAGGGAATCCGCAGATTGACTTTGCCGACGCGATACACTGACTTGACGATGTTCATGTTAGAAGCAGCAATGGCAGACTGTCACAAAAGATAGACTGGCCAAGCAAATAAAATCAACGTAAACGATGTTAAAAGGGATACCGGTAGATCGAATTTGCTAACGCGGTACACCGAATGGTCGGGTTGTTGAATGCAAAGACGAAGTCAAGATTGATGGACCCGCCGAAGCAAGATCAGAGATCTTAGAGGATGATGAAATCTGGGTTTTTGGGTACAAGCAGTGAAATCGACAAGGACGGTCCTTTTTTGGATGAAGATTTGCCTGGAGAGTACAAGATGATGAAGTTCAGTACATGGTCTGTGATTTAATTGGTGAGTTTGATTTTGATTATTGGTCCTTTAGCTTGTAGCCTTGCAATTCCCAGATTTAGAAACAAAATATTATATGAACTTGAATTGTGGAAATGGAAACTCATGATTTTGGTTCTGATTTCGGGTTGTGAGAAATCTGAAACGGAAATTCGAAACCATTTTAGTATGCCTTATTTCGCGTGTTCACGTCACGTACGAAACTACACTACGACGTAACCACGTTCCATTTATGCGCGTGTTACAAACCTACTAAATTAAAAAAGGTATTAGTGCGCTTTTCCGATCAACATAACACACAAACACCCATTCACGTTCCCTATACAAGCCCATGCCAATCAACCAATAATACTAGCAGTGACAAAACAGTCAACAAACAAATTAAGAAACCATCTAGTCACCAAGAAAACATTTAAGATCTTATGGATTACAAGTCCACAAAATAGCATTTACTGGTCAATTCCCCATTATTTTAAGACTTATATCCTCTTTTTTTTGTATTATCCATGATACACTAGTTACAAATAACATTATTTTTTTAATGTTTCTCAAAATTAATAGTAAAAACTTGCGTGAAATATTTTTGTAAAAATTTTCAATATTGTAATTAATAAGTGTTCTCCTCTAATTTGATTTTTTAGCTCCACCACTGGCTGCAGCAAGAAGCAACTATCATCACTATCACCAGGAAATGGCCCGATTGGCCTTGCCGTACTTCAAGCGGCAATAGTTGTTTCGATAGAGATGTGGTGGCGCAACTGACTACAATGACGAGGTCCACACACAATACTAGCGGCAACGAGGCCCACACACAATACTAGCTCCACCACTGGCTGCAGCAAGAAGCAACTATCATCACTATCACCAGGAAATGGCCCGATTGGCCTTGCCGTACTTCAAGTGGCAATAGTTGTTTCGGTGGAGATGTGGTGGCGTAACTGACTACAGTGACGAGGCCCACACACAATACTAGCGGCAACGATGAGTTTTTTTTTGGTTAATTTTTGTTTTTAGTGAATTTCTTTTTTAATTTAAAAAAAAATTGAATTTTCTATTTTGTTCGATTAAACAAATCAGAAAATTTTAAAAAAATAATTAAGAATTTGAAAAAAAAAAGTCCAGAAAATATTAAAAAATAAATAAATAAATATTAGAATTTTTTTTACTTATTTTGGATTTATAGATTTTTTTTGAAATTTATATTCTTTATCTTTATTTTTATTTTTCTTTTTATGTTTGTTTATACAAGACAGGCTAAAAAAAAATTAAAAAATTGACATTATTTTTATAAAAAAAGTCGCTAAAGACAAAAAAAAAATAAAAATTTTAAATGTGATTTATTTGGAAATTCCCAGGCAACCTATGGTTGTCCTTGAAAGTCAATTAGGATTATGGATTTGAATATGAATTTATAAGTAAGAAAAAAAAATTTAACTTACATTTTATTAATATTGTTCTCACTTTTTGTTTTTGTTTTTCTTTTTAAAATTTATAACTAAATTTATGATCCAAACACAATTTAAAAGGCGAATTACACTAACAATCCCTGTAGTTTAGAGCTTATGTCACTTTGTTCCCTGACCTTTCAATTGTGATACATTTGATCATAAATTTTGAATCTTGTTCCGAACAAAGACAATTGAAGATACTGTTTACTCTGCTAATGGAAAATGTTTCATTTGAAGGACAAAGTCGTCAATTAGATAAAATATAAACTAGTTTAACAAAAATAAATGTTGAAAGGTTTTTTTTTGAATTTTTAAAAAATATTTCTACTCACGAAAGATAAAATTATATAAAAATAATAAATCTTATACATTTTTATTTTTTTATCAAATTAATTTTTTATATGTGTTTAGATGATGATCATATAAAGGGTGGTTATTTTTGTTGATGTTTTTGGATGGTTATCATGTAATAGATGATTTTTTTGTTGTCAACAAATATTTTTGTATGATTATCAAGTAATGGATGATTATTAGACTTTTAATGTATAATCGATATATTTAATATATAAAATGTTTTTAATTTTGAATTTTTTTATTTTTTAGAATATTTTTTTGTTAATGTACAAAAATTCAGTATATTTACATATTCGTGTGTATCGCATGTTCTGCTTACAATCTTGTGTTATGCTAAATCATAGTATTTAGCTGAGGGAGGAAACACTGCTTTGCAGTGGGAGATTCATTAACCAACCATTTTAACTGACTATAAGAACATGGGTAATTGCTTGTTCAAAGCATCGCACAGTAGAAATTAAAGAATTACCCATCCTATGAGAGCAATGCAAAGGTATCTCTGGGTTACTTAGCAATTTGATCTTGTTCAACCTCATCAAAAACTGGAAGCACAAGATCTTCTAGTATGCTAAATCAAATGAAAGTAGTGTGAATCAGATCATTACTATCAATCAAATCACGCTTTTCTCAATTAAAAACAAAAAAAAAATCTCTTCTTTATTGAGTATAACATGAAGAGAACACCCCCCTTGAGCAAACACAACATCTAGAGATTGAAAGGTAAAAAGAAAAAAAGAGAAAAATAAAAAAGAGGATCCCCAAAGAGAAAAAAAAAGGAACTGTGGAAGAGTATGCCACAACAGTCCGATCAAATAGTCTTCTAGAGATTTACTAAAAAAGAGAAAAATAAAAAAGAGGATCCCCAAAGAGAAAAAAAAGGAACTGTGGAAGAGTATGCCACAACAGTCCGATCAAATAGTCTTCTAGAGATTTACTGAGCCTCGAGCTTCTTTTTGCGCTCCAACATGAAGTCATAGACCTTGTGTTGGTCAACAAGAGTGTTTGACACACACTCCTTTCCCATGCACCTATGAGCCCAAGCAACAAGTTTAGGGCACTCTGTCACCATGCTGAAGTTGCCAAACTGCTCAAACGAATAGAAAAATGTGTGGAATGGGATCAGTGCCACATCCACAAAGCCAAAGGTCTCACCCCCATAATAAGGCTTGTCTCCAAGCTCTCGTTCCAAGAGCTTAAAGCAGCCTAAGAGATCATTCTTTGCGACTTCTAGGGCTTCACCAGTGTATGTACATAGCAGCTTTCCAAGCCTATGTACCTGTAGAATATGCCATATGTAAATGTTGATAAGAAGACACATGTCTCCGAGAGATCACTCTGTTCCAAAATACACAAGAATGTATAATCCAATATTTATTAGTTCCTTTGTCCTCTGTCCCTTCCTAGTGCAATCTCAATTGTACAAGATAATAGGAATCTTAAAACACAAGAACGCATTAGAACAGAGGACAAGAATTCTGTGGTGACAGAAAATCTCGTACCATATTTACTAATATGCATTAAGGAGAACTCTAATAAGACATAAAATTCATACAAAAATTCCACAGGAAGGATGTGGTAATGTATTATTTTATTTTTTATTTTTTTTTATTTTTACAGATGGATATATGGAAGAGTTTAGCACTCACCTTCTTGTCAATATAATCACCCCAGAACCTGGCATGAGCTCTCTGGTAAGGATCAGAAGGCAACAATGGAGATTTGTGGTTCCAGACTTCATCCATGTACTGAATAATGATGAGCGACTCGCACATCGGTTTACCATTATGGATCAACACTGGGATTTGCTTGTTAACAGGGTTCATCTTCAGGAGTAGTAGGCTCTTGTTGCTCAGGTCCTCTTCCCTGGATTCATATTCTATCTCTTTCTCAGCCAAGGCAATTTTCACCCTCATCACAGAGGGGCTAAACCAGGTGCCCAAGAGAATCACTTTGTCGGCCATTGATGATGTCTCACAAATCAGAGAAGATCAAAGATTGAAGAACAGAGAATGAATGAAGATGCCTAGAGAATTATGTTTCGGGTGTTTGCTTGTGTACCAAAGAGAGGAGGTTGGAGAGGTTTTTATAGAAAAAACTTTTGATGGGCAATTCAAAGATGGTCGGACAATTTTGCAGGTCAATTTGCAAGTCAATTTGGGGAAATTATTCAATAATTCTAGAACATCACGTGATCATACTTTAAATCAATCATTAATTATTTAGCCTCATGTTATTCTCTTATTTCCAACATAAATTGTGAGTCCCTATCCCTCTCTACATTTTAAAACCTTATGAGATATCATGTGTCCATATTTCAGAAATAGTGAATAATCTTCCGTAAATTTCTATTATTTTGGGAAGGAAGGATTAATGGTCATTGTGTGCATCATGATTGAGTATCTTTAAGGAAAATGTTTGGTAGACCGAATTTCTGTGACTCAAATGACTTGAATGTATCAAACGACGTCTACACCCAAAATGATGATGTTTTGAGTGTTTCAAGCCATTCGAGCTATATTTTTTCGGACTACCTAGCATTGTTAAAGCATCAGCATATAAAATAATAGGAAAACGCTATACAAATAAAAAAAATTTACAAATTGATGTGGTATGGAATGATACAACTTTAGAATGTAAAATGAGACCCGACTTATTAATATTCTAGGTAGGTGACACGTCAATTTGTAAAGAAAGATTGTTTGGAAAGTTTGTTTGTATAGCGCTATTCAAAATAATAACATGTCTCATAGAGAGAGTATTCCTACCTACCTAGGGATAATTCTATTTACATGCCACCACTTTAAAAAAAAAATTAAAAAAAATAATAAAATGATTAAAATTTTAAGGTTTGGTCTTTCATAACTCACTTCTCAAAAAATTATTATTATTTTTTTTATTGATTTTTTTTAATATTTTAAGTAATTTTTAAAAAATTTTGATATTCCTAATATCAATATACTTAAAAAGTATAATATTTATAAATAAAATAAAATAAAAAATTTAAAAATTCACTAAATATCAAAAATATTATTAAAAAAATATAAAAATTCAATACATTTTCATATTCTTTTGTGTATTTATTAATTTTTTAAAATTTAATACATTTTCATATTCTTGAGTAGCATATGTTCTGCTTACAATCTTGGCTTATATATAATTGCCTTGTGTCCCCTAATTCCATACCAACAGTTGTTGCAAACAGTTACTAATGCACATATATATTGCTTAAGGCCCAAGGGTCCCTCGGTAAATATTCTTGTCTTTCTGTCCCAAATCACTCACAACCATTAGATATGTGTTAAGATTCTCAAATTTTGAGATTTTCGTATGTTTTAATGATTGTGAGTGATTTGGAACAAGTGGAGAGGAATATTTGGCGAAGAGGAGCCTTACTCATTGCTTCAGTTAACTCTGCCAAACAAATCCACATATATATGTATATATATATATATGCATTGCTTTGCTCAAAGCTGCAACTTTTCTCACCTCCATATGTCATAGAGCAAGCAATAAATAAAGTTATTTTTGTTTCTTCAATTTTACTCAACAACGATTCGATTCAATGAAGAAGATTATAATCTATCTTTTTGTTTGTTTCTTGCTGGTTTGTAACCCAGTTGATTCTGATTCTGAATGACAGAGCTGTTGTTACAGGGATGAGAACAGATTGGACAAAGTGAGCTGGGTTTGAGTTGGTTTTAATCCCATATAGGAAGTACAAGGAGAGAGTGAGGAGGGAGCAGTGGCATAAGGAGGGGAGAGAGGAACAAGAGTAATTAGATGACAATAGACATATTTTGACAATTTAGCCTTATAGATGAAAGTATCAAAACTACTTTGACAAAGTCGCAAATCATCCCAAATCTAAATTGAGATTTTGAATCAGATTAGTAAGAAAAACATGCAAATTCTCCAAAAACCAGAACAGCTTCAGCAAATTGAAAGTCACACAACTAAATCATAAACTCAATCTATCATGCTTTATAATTTGGCAGGACCATTGGGCCTCATTGGATAATGAAAATTTTCTAAGATATATTGTAGGGTACTCTACAAAAATTGGGTATGCTGATCTTTTGAATCAAGCACGCTATATTATTATTATTTAGTAAAAGGTGCCACAAAAATTGACTATAAACTTCTTTATGTAACGGTAAGGTTAGTACGTGAATATAACTGATCAATTAATAAAAAAAAGAGAGAGATAGAAAGATGATTTACAGCCATGTAATTTAGCAGGGGAAAAACAAAAAAAGAAGAGCAAAAAACTAATTGCAAATTACCTTCTAATATCAAGATTTTAAAAAAAGGAAAAAAAAAAAATCCATTTGAAAGTGAAGTGTATCCATTTGTAGATAAAATTTGATGTTATCCTTTGGTAGAGGTATCTTATCCCAAATCATAGCTTCCATGTGTATGGGGTCTTTTGGAAACATATCAAAAAGTTATTTTTTAGCTTTTCAGTCTTTTAAGTTAAAAAAGTCATTTTTTTTATTCAAAATAACTCAATTTTTTATTAAAAAAATCATTAGAAAAGTTAAAAAATTATAAAGTTAAATTTTTTACGAATCTTCAAAACACCACTATATACATGAAAATAACACGTTCTTATTCCAAATCAAAGCTAATGATTGTCTCAACTTTTCTTATTTGCTATGTTTGGCATGCATTTTTTTGAGTAAAAATAGTTATAGAAAGATAAAGTAGATTAAAAAATTAATAAGATAAAATGTTATATTTAATTTATAATTTTTTTTTTTTACAAAAGTTTAAAAAATCAAAAAATCGATCATAAACAAAATATTTTAATCTCAAACTAAAATAATTAAAAAATAAAAAAAATCAATTTACATTCCAAACAAAGATTTTATCTTGTTCCTAAACACCCTACTTAAATTATTATTATTATTATATTCAAAGCACCATTGTTTCATTAGTAGAAGGCAAATCTTTCACAAGATTTTGAATCCAAAAAAAAATCTTTGACAAGATTGACCGGTCCCACGCTATCATGTTCATATAGAATTACAAACAAAAAAAAAAAGTATGCGTGGACTAACATAGGGTTGTTTAGAACAGCAATGAGCTTTTAGAGTAAAATTTCTTAGAGTGTTATTTTGTGTGGTTGAGATTTATTGACAAGTTACATCAGAAAAATTGATGTGACTTGCTAGTAAATCTCAACCACACAATATAACACTTTAAGAAACTTTAAGAAAATTTCACTTTAGAGGATCCTTGCTCTGTTTAGAATAACTTAAATAACTATATTTTTTAATATTTTAGATTAAAAAATTAAAAAAAAAAGATAATTTTTTAAGATAATTATTTATAAAAAAATATGTACTAAAATATTATATAAAATAATAAAATTTCTATTTTATCCCTCTGCCCTATATATAATGACAGTGACTATTGAAAGGACCAATACAGAATGCTTTGAATTGTGTGGTGGGTAGACATGCTTCAGATTTATATATATGGAACGAGGCTTTTTTTTAGTTCTTCATTAGATTGGAGGGGCTTATTACGGGTCACATTTAAATAATCTGAACCGTTCAATATGTAGAACTCGTCAAGCACTATATGTCTGTAAAAAATCACGTTGATCGGATATCGATAGTTATGTGATCAAATAAGTTTTGTATAAAAAAATAGACAATTAAAAATAAACGGCTGAAAAAAATCTGATTTGACCACATAGCTATCGATATCCGATCAACCTGATTGTTTACAGGCATATAGTACTCGACGATTTTTACACATTGAACGGTTCCGATTAACAAAATGGGACCCGTGGTGGGCTTCCACGAGCCAAACAACACCTTTTTTTGTAAATTTTTTGTGCAACCGATTAGATAATTTGTACCATTTGGCTCAGACTGTACCATCACGTCAATACATTTTAGGTTATACTTTTTTTTGTATAAATTTATTTATATATATATATATATATTTTAAAATAATGATAACTTTTTAATTTTTTTAATAATTTTTTAATTTTTTGTCTTTTCTAGACTTTTTGTATTTTCTAGACTATATCAAACCAGCCCTAAATCACTAATATCCCGTTTAGTAGAGCTGTAGAAAAGTGATTATAAATTATAACTTAACAGATTATAACTTATAGTTGTGAACATAAGATGTTAACCTGTTTGGTACAACTCTGAGATTATGAATTTAAGTAGCAGAGTAGTGTTTGGTTAATAAGCTGTAAAATAACTTTTTGATGTGTAATTGTCCTTTTTACCTTTATATAATATAAAAATAATTATTTTGTCATTTTTTTTCAGTTTTAATTTTAAAAAAAATTATTACATTAATAAAAGTTAATATAATTAGTATTACATAAATTGTTATTTTCATTTTTTCATTATAAATCAATTAGTATAAAATTATTTTCATTATAAAGTATTATTTCCAATTTTTCATTATAAATCAATTAATATAAAATTATTTCATTTTTCCATTATAAAATAATTAGTGTCAATTAATGGCTTATTTTCATTTTTTCATTATAAATTATTATTTCCAATTTTTCATTATAAATCAATTAGTATAATTTTTTTTTTTTTCATTATAAATTAATTAGTAGCAATTAATGGTTTAATAAGCATCAATTAATACTAAAATTATTAATAGGATCAATTAGTATAACTTTTTTTCATTTTTTCATTATAAATTAATTAGTGGCAATTAAAGGTTTAATAAGCATCAATTAATAGTAAAATTATTAATAGGATCAATTTGTATAATTTTTTTTCATTATAAATTAATTAGTGGCAACTAATGGTTTAATAAGCATCAATTAATAGTAAAATTATTAATAGGATTAATTAGTATAAATTTTTTTCATTTTTTCATTATAAATTAGTTAGTGGCAATTAATGGTTTAATAAGCATCAATTAATACTAAAATTATTAATGGTATCAATTAGTATAATATTTTTTCATTTTTTCA